AACTCCCAACAATGAATGGCCCTTTGGGTCCAGGGAGAATAGCAAAAAATATAAAACCAAAAAAAAAAAAAAAAAGAGATGGTCAATTTGAAAGCTTATTTTGATCCCCACTCCTCTCTAGCTACCCTTCCCTTTTACATATACTTTCTGTACACCCACAGCTGCTGTGAGTCCAGCTACTGAGAGTCCTCAACTGCCAGAATTGCTTTTATAGGTAAGAGCTTCCTGTCCAAGGTCACTCCCTTCCCATACGGCCCTCAGTCATGTACTGGACTAAAGGCGAGAACCCCTAACTTTCAAGGGGACCATTCTGAAGGGCCATCCCAGCTTCAGAGCTCACCACAGGGTCACCTCCAGTCTCTGTTGAGACTGCATCACAGGCCGCCTTCTCCTTCTACTCAGCCTTCCTTCCTTTCCCATATAAGTCAAGCTTGCAATCCCTCTTGAATAAACTTCTCGCACACAAATGTCAAAAAAGAAGAGATAGTCAGTTTGCACAAACAGTAAGATGCTATCCTCGGAGGCAGCTCTAGTGCAGAGAAAGAGGGAGAAGTGGTTCTTCCCTGGGGAGATCAGAGAGGGCTTTGTGGAAGAAGTAGTATGGATTCCAGTGACCTTGACATGGGTGGGACTAGACCCCAGAGATGTGGAAGGCCTTCCAGATAACAGGAGAGGCACACACAAAGCCAGAAGCCCACCAAGCCCAGGCTTCACGGGAGAGCGAGTGTTTCTGCTCCTGTGGACAGAGGTTCAAGCAGAAAGTCACATTGGAAAGGTCCAGTCAAGACTGACCGTGCGGCCTGAACCTGAAATGTGTCTTCAGGGAAACCTGAGTCACTGAAAGATTTTAAATAGCTGAGTAAGACCACCTGGCATGTGTTTCTGGAAGATAAGCCTGGGAACTCGGGGAGAATAAAGCGGGGAGAACAGTCAGGGAGCTTCTAGCTCAGGCAGAACCAAACCAGCAATGAGACTCTGAACCAGGGGTGGGGCAGCAGGAGGGAGGATGTGAGGGATGCTCGGAAAACAGGGTCACAGCTGGTCCCACCCAGAGACCAGGAGCCAGGAGGGCACCAGGGCTCCAGACTCTGAGCAAAGAGAAGGTGATACAGGAGGTCAGACACAGAGGACGTGAGGGCTTGGGGGTAACGTGCCCACCCGCACACCTGGGGTGGAGAAACCTGCCGGGGAACAGGAGTGAGGCCATGGGGAGAGGTGGGTTTTGTGTCACCAGAAACATCAGTCCGGAGGTGGTGGCTGAAATCAAGGCAACCCCACGAATTCAGAGAAGTAAAGCTTCCTGCAGACGGGCTGAAGGAATGCTCGTGTTCAGGGAGTTGGAGCAGGTGGCGCAGCAGCGGAGGGGCTGATACCAGAGAAGGGGCACCTCCTGCAGGGAGACATGTCCTGCGGACCCGGGGGTGGGAGCCTCAGGGGCTGCAGGGGGTGGGGTGGGCTTTAACAGAGCCCAGGAGAGCAGAGGACTCTGGGGATGTGCTGCGTGCAGGCTAAGTCGCTTCAGTCGTGCCTGAGTCTCTGTTACCCCATGGACTATAGCCCACCAGGCTCCTCTCTCCATGGGGATTCTCCAGGCAAGAGTACTGGAGGAATCTTCCCAACCCAGGGATGGAACCCAAGTCTCCTATGTCTCCTGTATTGGCAGGCGGGTTCTTTACCACTAGCACCACCTGGGAAGCTCCTCTGGAGACATGTGAGACCATCTCTGCAGTGTGAAAATGTGTATAGAAAGTGGAAATGGTAAAAATCAACCTAGTTTGAAGAAGAGAAGGGGGAGGTGGATGTTCAATAAGATCTCTGAAACATGGGATCCAGTGATGCCATTTCTGTAAGTACAAACCCAAAAGGACTGAAACTAGGGTCTGGGAGAAATGCTTGCATATACACACATTCATGGCAGCACTACGCACAATAGCCTAAAGGTGGGAGCAACCCAAGTGTTCACTGATGGATGTATGGGTGAACAAACATGGTCCATCTACACCATAGACTAGGATTCAGCCTTAAAAAGAAGGACAATCTGGGGCTTCCCTGGCAGTCCAATGGTTAAATTTCTGCACTTCTACTGCAGGGGGCGCAGGTTTGATCTCTGGTCTGGGAACTAGGATTCCGAATGTTTCACAGTGAGGACATAGAAGAAAAAAAAAACAAAAAAACGGAGGACATTCTGTTCTTTCTGTTCTGACTTTTGGTATCACACAGATGAACCTTGAGGACTTGATGCTCAGTGAAATAAGCCAGACATGAAGAGACAAATCCTTTCTGATTCTACTTACACGAAGGCCCCAGAGTAGTCAAAGCCATAGAGGTGGAAAGGAGAAGGTTGTGTGCCAGGGACTGAGGATGAGGAGGGGGAATTTGTGTTTAATGATAGAGTTTTGGTTTTTTGAAATCAGGAGAGTTCTGGGGAGGAATGGTGGTGAAGTATGCGCACCAATGTGAAACATACTTAACACCACTGAACTGTGCACTTAAAAATGGTCAAGATAGTAACTTTTATGTTATGTGTATTTTACCACAATTTAAAATTTGTTTAATGTTCTCTGATTTTCAAAAAGAAAGAGGAGACGGTGAGGGGGGGGGGGGACAGTCTCAGGTGAAGATTGCTTGCAGGTGGATGAAGAGGACAAGAGAAGGAGGAAGGGCCAGGTGGCAGTGGGGGTGGCGGGGGATGGAGAGAAGATTTCTGAAGAAAGGTTGGCTGTGGAGTAGAGGAGGAAGGAATGATGAGAGAGGTAGTGAGGAATCAGCGAGATCAGTCAGTTTAGTCCAGTAGCTCAGTGGTATCTGACTCTTAGAGATGCCACAGACTGTAGCACGCCAGGCTTCTCTGTCCTTCACTAGCTCCCAGAATTCGATCAAACTCATGTTCATCAAGTTGGTGATGTCATCTAACCATCTCATCCTCTGTTGTTCCTTTCTCCTCCTGCCTTCAATCTTTCCCAGCATCACAGGCTTTTCCAATGAGTCAGTTCTTCACATCAGGTGGCCAAAGTATTCAAGCTCCAGCTTCAGCATCAGTCCTTCCAATGAATATTCAGGACTGATTTCCTTTAGGATGGACTGGTTGGATCTCCTTGCAGTCCAAGGAACTCTCAAGAGTCTTCTCCAACACCACAGTTCAAAAGCATCAATTCTTCNTATTTTTCTGGAATTCTCTTGCTTTTTCTATGATCTAACAGATGTTGGCAATTTGGTCTCTGATTCCTCTGCCTTTTCTAAATCCAACTTGAACATCTGGAAGTTCTTGGTTCATGTACTGCTGAAGCCTAGCTTGGAGAATTTTGAGCATTACTTTGAGCTAGCATGTAAGATGAGTGCAACAGTGCAGTAATTTGAACATTCTTTGGCAACAAGAGAATGGGAAAGACTAAAGATAGCTTCAAGAAAATTAGAGATACCAAGGGAACATTTCATGCAAAGATGGGCACAATAAAAGACAGAAACAGTATGGATCTAACAGAAACAGAAAATATTAAGAAGAGGTGGCAAGAAACAGAAAAACTATTCAAAAAAGATCTTAGTGACCCAGATAACCATGATGGTGTGATCACTCACCTAGAGTCAGACATGCTGGAGTGGTCAAGTGGGCCTCAGGAAGCATCACTATGAAAAACGCTAGTGGAGGTGCTGGAATTCCAGCTGAGCTATTTCAAATCCTAAAAGATGATGCTGTGAAAATGCTGAACTCAATATGCCAGCAAATTTGGAAAACTCAGCAGTGGCCACAGGACTGGAAAAGGTCAGTTTTCATCCCAATCCCAATCAGCAGGAGGGTCAGGTGAAAGCGGGAATGGAGCAACAGCTGTCTGGTGGTGGCTATTTGCCTAGGGAAGCACACATGCAGACAGACACCGGCCAGAAAGTGTGGACAACTGGGCAGAGCTGGGTTCTGAGGGAACCAAGAAGGGGCCTGACCTTCATGGGGAGCCAGGCTTGGGGAATGGCAGGGTGAGACAGGACCTGCAGTGAGAACAACTTGTCCTGACTCATCAGCTCCCCTAAATGCTTTCTCATTGAGGAGGTGATAAAAACACAGGTAGACAGACACAGGGGTTGGCACATAGTAGGTCTTCAGATAATGTTGGTGGAATGGGATGGAACAGTATAAAATGGAACAAAATAGAAGATTCTGGCGGGAACGGTCTTTGTAGGACTTCAAAGTGGACTGAGTTCTTATTACACATAGAATGGATAAACAAGATCCTACTGTACAGTGTAGGGAACTCTGTTCAACATCTGTCATAAACCATCATGGAAGACAATATGGAAAAGAATGTATACTGAATCACTTTGCTATACGGCAGAAATGAATACAACATTGTAAATCAACTAAACTTCAATACAAATTTAACATATACATCACATTCTTTAATAAATTCCTTCAAAATGGCAAGCTTCAACCATAGTGCATGATCCTGGAACCAGGAAAGTCACACTTTTTAAAGGACAGGTGCACATCTGTGTCCCTGATGCACCTGTCATTCTTATCACAGACAAAGATAAAGTGAAGGCAGAGATAATCACAGTTACAATGGGGCAAAACAAAACACTCAAAACTGAAAGCATAGAAACTTCTCTCCAAAATGCTAAAGTGTTTCCCAGAAAGAACCAAGCTCTCTGTCTCACTAATAGCTATCATCTAAGATAAGTGAGAATTAGCCAAGGTATCCCCTCCTCCAAAGACACCATTTATTGTAAATCAGAAATAACCACAGTTGCTGTGCACACATCTACGAAAGCAACGTCTGGGCTCAGAGGCCTTTTTACACAAAATTAATACTGTGTGTCCAACCCCAGAGCTATCCAGGGGACTTTCCACTGCTGTTCAAAAATAATCACAAGAATGGATGCCAAAATCCTAATTCTGGCCAGCACCAATCCATCCAAGATTCTTTCTAAAATTATACAAACGATCGAATAGTCCTTGCTGCAAAAGGAAATCAAAGAACAGAAATGAGGACAAATTCACTCTAACTCACCAAATGGTGCCGGAGGTGGACAGTGATAAGAGGGGAGCCCGATAAATTCTGGGAGAGCTTCGGCGTCGGGGAGACCTCCAGGGAGATCAGATAGCTGGTCGCAGAGAGCAAGCAGTTTTTGTAATTTGCTGCCTCAGCAATCCTTGGGAACAAATGAAAAATCATTACAAAACAGAAATTTAAAAAAAAAAAAACTTTGAGTTTAAAATTTCATGTTAATCCTGAGACTTTTGAGGCTGAAATATTTTGGGGGTGGAGTTCTGATTTCTATCAAACAGCACATTCTGCTCTAAGACTCAGTGTTAGTACCAAAAGGTGAGGTGGAGCCCTTGACCTCAGAGAGTCTATAGTGTAGTAAAAGGAGGGGGTAACCCAGGAAGTGAGGAAGAACAGGAAGATCAGAACAATGAGATTAAATCTCAGCCATACATTCACTTGACCTTGGACGAGTGACTTACCTGTTGGAATTTTCCATGCCCAGATTATAAACCGCTGTGGCAAATAATAATGTGATGGACACCTCTTGTCTTGTCACCCAATAGCCCTGCATCCCTCTCCTGATAAAGGCACCTCAGCTTCCCTCCAAGTGACCACCCCTTCCTGACTTGTAGCCCATATGCTTTGGAGGGACCTCCATCCTTAACTCAAGAGTAAAACCTGCTATCACAATTTGGGTAAATCAGTGCACTGCATTCCTCAGACCATACTGATTGTTCAGATACAAGCACATGTTTCATTAAGATCAGAAGAGAAGTAACAAGATTCAGATAGAAATGCTGGGTCAGACATCCTCACTTCTCTCTGCTAGATGTCAGTCCAGAACCATGAGGTTCCAGCAGTGGCTTATAATCATGAGCAGAGAGACTGACTGGGAAGGAAGTCCACACCCAGGAAAAGCTGAGAGATGGAGTTGGGTGACAGCAACTGGATGCTGGATCAAGCTGCTCCTGAAGCCAGCTGTCCATGCACCTTTCGGCTTATGTGATCCAACAAACTCCCCTTTTGTTTAAAACAGCTTATGCCCGGGTTCCTGTTGCTTATGCCCAATCAAGAGAATCTTGGCTGATATACATAGTACTTGTCTCATGGAGTTATGAAGCTGAAATAACATTCAGGGCCAGGACTAGGATGAGGGAAGCAAAGAACTTGGGGTGCAAGACCTAAGAAGGTGTTCACTTGCAGCACATGAATGACCAAGAATGAACACCGCTCTGAACGCTGTCTTCTTGGTGACTGCTTATCTAGCCCTCACCCTTGCCCTGCCTGGTATATGGTCAGTAATCAGCAAATGTCTGTTGCCTTACTCTGAATTTCAGACATTTCACTAGGATTCCTGCAACATGGAGTCATCCAGCCCCGACTCAGGTCACCCAGTCATCTGCTGGTTTCTTTCCTAATCTGGACTTTTGCATGGGGATTCTGTCCCTTCCCTGTGTTTATACTCACAGAACCATCTTCATAACATCAAGCAGATCCCTGGGAGCTGGGTGCACAATCTACTTCCTTCCTCAACTAGTTTTACCTGTTAACTAGACTCAGAGCTGGTGACCTGAACTTGAGCCAGTGGGACCCATGCGTCTCCCCCCTAACACCACCATCATCACCACGGGACCCAGCTTTTTTTAAACAAGTCCCTAACACGAGTCCCTAAAAAAGAGCAGATCCCCAGCAGCACACAGAACTATTCCTGGAATTGTCAATGTGAGATGCTTTTTAAAAATATCGCTGTAAAGATTTAAAACCCCTGGGACTTCCCTAGTGGTCCAGTGGTTAAGAATCTGCAACTACTGAGCCCACACACCACAACTAAAGAAGTCCACGTGTCTCCACAAACAGCCTGCATGCTGCAAAGTAGACCAAGCATAGTCCAAATTAAAAAAAAGGGGGGGGGGGATTTAAAACCCTAACCCTGCCTTCATGGAAATACCCTGCCTAAGGGTATTTCCAACAGAAAATACTCCCTGTAGCAAAACACAGGCAAGGATTCCTCGTGTTTGTGAATATCACCAAGGTTGGAAAGGTGAGGAGCTGCTGGAAACTCAGAACACAGCTGATTTGCTATCTGATTATTATTCTCGGGAAAGGCATCACTGTGCAAGCCCCAAGCTACAAGACACATATGGAATAAGTCACACAGGTTTAAAAAAGTGAAAGACACTGAAAAGCAAGTCCCACTCTAGCTCGTGGTTCTCAACCATTGTTTTTCATTATGACCCCCTAAAGAGTCCCATTAGACCCATTTTTCCTAACACCCCACCATTACTCCATCAACACTTGCCCATCCTGTGAAATCGTAGTACCACAGAAATAGAGTAAATCTGCTTATGTACTTCAATATGCTTTAGGTAACTTTGCAGAGCCACAGCCACTGTAATATCTCAGACTCCTTGCCCTCAAAACCAATTTTCACCTTCTGGAGGTGATATCTTCCCCACTGAAAAGGCAGGGAGTTCAGCCACTGCTGTGGAAAGTTAAGACTGGCTGGATATCACCAGGGACCAGTTGAGACCCAAAGATAGAAAGATGTGGTCCTCGATGACACAGAGGCCTGCTCTCTTGCAGAGCAATGAGGCTGCCCAGGTAGACCGCCTCTCCACTTGTGATTTCAGGGAGCTGAGATGTTTTGAGCTCAGCACAGTATCCGCTGAGATACAGTGAAATGCTTGCCAATACCTCACAGTCCATGCTTCTCTCTGTGGAGTCAGCATGTATGTAATTCCACCAAACATAATAGAAATCATTTGTCTAGCAAAAATTAGGACTATGTATTAGCCAACAATAAAATCACAACCATGAGCATAAGACCCTACAAACACATCGTTATTTGTCACATCTCCCCTCTCCCCATCCACCTCCATTTTCTAACAGTTCGTCAGGTCAGCTGTCATCTCCCACTAGGATGTAAGCTCCATCGGGGGCTGGCTTCTTACCCATTCTGTTCACAGCTCTCTAAGCCCTTAGAACCAAGCCTGACACACAGTAGTTTCTCAACTAATATCTGTTCAGTGAATTAATCTTCTCACAGACAGGCCATGATGACTTAGATCAAAATCTTAAGAAAAACATGTAAAAAATGGAAAATTTATGGAGAATCTTCTCTCCACAAACACAGTGCAAATCCTGAGTGGATTCCTGGATTTGGCCCTGGGAACACATGGATTCAGCCAAATGCAGCCTAGTAAACACTGCCTTTGAGGGCAGGAACTGATACCAGACTCAACAGTCTACACTGCGCCTTTAGGAGCATTTTTAATGTGGAAAAGTATGATTTCCCAATACGGATGGGTTTACACTGATGGTCTCCAGTGACTCACTTCTCATGCAGCCAGGGAGGCCTTTCCTTCTGGCTGGGTTTGCCCTGCAGAGAGGCCCAGGTCGGGGTCCATGGTGGCTGAGCCAGGAGGAGCCCACCATCCCAACACCACCACCCAAGTTGACAATGACAAGACATCAGATGGTCTAAGAAATTGCTGTTTACTTTTTAGATGGGGTAATGGAATGGAGTTTATTCTGTATTTTTAAAAGTCTTTGTCTTTTAAAAATAGAGACTAAATATTTACAGATGAAACTACATGATGTCAGAGATTTGCCTCAAAATAATTGGTGGGGCCAGGGTGAGGGAGCGGGGTGGGCAGAGGAAGCTCAAATGGCCGTGGGTGGTCCCGGTTGTAACCCGGTGATGACCGTCTCTCTTGTTTTTACAGATGTTTGATTTTTTTCATAATAAAAAGAGGGCTGTTTTATGACTTCATTTAATCTCTCTGGTACCTCCAGTTTTAATAAGGGTTTTCCTTTGTCTTCATAAATCTGATCCAGGCTTGATTATTTTTATTTTAACCTGTTATCTGGGGAGCAGTAACACTTGGAGACTGGATTATCTGTCACTTTGGAATTGACTGTACCAGGGCTTGGAGGCCTTTCTGGATAAGAAAACAGGCTCATTCTAGATGCCAGGGCAGAAATGGCAAAGAAGACAGTCCCGGGAGTAGGGGCCACATGGGTGCGCCCCCCTGTACCAGCCCTGCCCCCTGCTTTGGGGCGTCCAGCCAACGGCAGCACCCACAGGAAATCAGAGCCAGTCGGACAGGAGAGTGAGACCCAGATAGCACTGTTTCTGCGGGGTCACAACGACCAAAGGGCACAGTGCCCATCCCCACACCCCTGCACTTTGCCCCAGGAACCGTGTTCTCCAGACGCCGTCAGCCCAGAGGGGCAGCATCATGCCCCACTCCCTCCTTCTGAGAACACTTCCTGTTATTATGTTGTCGTTGAGTCATCAAGTCGTGGGGAGTCTTTTGTGACCCCATGGACTGTAGCCTGCCAGGCTCCTGTGTCCATGGGATTCTCCAGGCAAGAATACTGGAGTGGGTTGCCATGCCCTCCCCCAGAGGATCTTCCCGACCCAAGGATCAAACCTGAGTCTCCTGCACTGGCAGGCAGATTCTTTACCCCCTTTACTGAGGCACCTGGGAAGCCCTCCTGTTATTACTCTATCCGTTATAGTAGGGAGCACACCCTGAGCACAGCCTGGCAAATGGCCTCTCCATCTAACTTCCCCCATCTGGTCCGCCTGGGGACCTGACTGACACAGGTCAAAGTCCAGTCCTACAGCCTCACATGTTTCAGCACATTTGAGCCACAACCCCTCTGCAGGTCATCTGTGCCTTCGATTACACATGAAGAGGTCCTATTTGTTTATTTTTGTTTTATTTCCATGACTCTAGGAGGTGGGTCAAGGGAAGGAAATGGCAA